TTTCTGATGCATAAAAGTATTTTTAATCTTAAAATAAAAATTACTTTGCATGATGGATAGGGCAACATGCGAAAAGAAAAAAAGGCATGAGAAAAACATCGCTTTACAAACCTTAAGACTTAATAAAAAAAAATTTATATTTCACATATGAAAGCATTGTAATGTTTTCTGATAATCTGCCAAATTTCGTTAACATATGCTTCCTAATTTAAAAGTTATAACATGAAAACTATAACAAGCACAAAATGGTTTCGAGGTCGATCCCAGGGACCGAGCCCGTCCTGAAAGAATTAATGAGTAATTGCAGAATTGTTGTGCTTATTACTTTAAATTTTTAATTACATTTGAAGTATTATTACTCTTATCTTATTTTTCTTTATTTCAAAACAGAAATTTACAAATATAATTGACTTCAGTTAGATCTTCTGATGCAAATTATTGTCTTTTCTTATATACTTTGATTTCTTCTCTTTATGAAACTAAGAAATTTTGGAAATCTATGATATGTTTTTTTTTTTTACAGAAATATTTCCATTGTCATTAACCTGGTGTTTGGGTTTCAGGCAGAAGCCAATAATTAACTTAAGTTTCATCAATGCAAATATTATAAAGACCTAAACAAACCAACTGAACAAACAAATACAAAAGCAAATCATAGAAAGAGTAACAATATGACTTCAATTTTGTGGATCTTATTTAATATGGCTTCTCAATTTCTCATTTCTGAAACCTTCAAAGATCGAGACTCCCCTCTATTGGATTGTCTTATTTTACTTAAATGGCGACTGTAATTACTCTGTTGGTGAGCAGTGTTACTGCCAATGTACTTAATATGGTTGGTTCTATTCTACAGTCTCTATCTTGTACCCTGGACTTTCAGCCTCTTGGTTTTGTAACTTATGCTGAGTCTGTCATGCCTTTGGATGACTTTGACGAGCTCTTCCCACATCCTGCCTTTCCTTTGTTGTTCTTATAACTCAGATATGTGAAATGTGTTCTCTTACTCCTGGTGTTTCTTCTGATTCTTTGACAAGCTTCTTGCATGCACTTCAATACATTTTTTTTTCATTGTCTCTTACCTAATAGTTCCATTATTACAGATTTTGTTTTCTGTCTCTACTTTGTGTTGACTACAATTTGACATATCATCCTTGAAGTTAAAGTGGTTGATATTCTTTTTCTTTTTCAGCACACCTGTCTCTTTTCACAGCTTGAAGATTTCCTTTTTTCCTACAGTGACACTTTTAGTCTCAATCCATTTGTTTTTATCCTTTGCTTACTCACCTTCTTAGCTTGCTATCTCCTTTACTTTTTTTTCTAAGATTCTGCATTGCAACCCCAATAGTTTTATTGGGGATGGTCCAATAATCTGTTCTTCATGTTACCCAATTGATTTGCTTCATCTGGATGTTTTATTTTCTGGAGTTATCTCACGACTCCATTTCACAGTAGTTTTTTTAGAGAGTTCCTCATTCTGTTGCCCCTTCTTTACTTTTCACTATCATGTTGGCTCAAATATTTTCACATGACTGGGTGCATCCATCTTCCTCCACCCCTCCTGGACCTACTTGGATGCTTCTTTAGCTGGAAAGGGTGTAGTTCTTGATACCTTCGCCATTTTATGTGTTTTGTTTTCTGTTAAGCATTCATTCCACATCAGTGTCCTCAAGATGCCGCTGCCTTTTGTTACAGCTGTCTAGACATTCTGTTGGTTGCTGTAAGAAATGACAGTGGATCTATTTCATCACCTTCACTGTCATTTCTTATGGCAACTAACAGGGAGGAACTTTCTCTCAGAACCTCTGCTTTATTTGTTCACAAGCACCTCTATTGGGCTTATAATAACAGTTCTGGGAGCTTTGAATTTAGTGGAAAAATCCTTCCAACAGAGTAGTCCTTATATCTGGTGTGTCTGTGAACTTGTTCCCACTATAGGAGTACTCCTATCAGAGCATTTGTGATTCCTCCTGGTTCTACGTCAAGCTTTTACTTTTTTGGTCACTATCTCCTTCATCTTGGAGGAATCTTTATGTGTCATCCTCAGAAGACCATCTTTCATCATGATATTTCATGCTTTCATCTTCCTGTGTAGCTTTTTTCCAATCATATGCAAAACAGGAATATTTTTCTTGCAGAGTAACCCATTTTCTTGGTTGCTCTTATTATCCACCCACTCTTGCAGTTTATTATTGCTAGTGGTTGGTTTTGATGTTGGTCCATTTGCTACTTCCTTCCTCCCGGTTGACTGACTGTCTCATCTCAGTTCCTTTTTAACTTGGCTTTTCAAGGGTGGTATTATCCTTTTCTACAGTTGCTGGCTACAGAGTGGCTTTGTCTATGATTATTTGACCCTTCTGAGCTTTTGAAATCAGTCAACATCTTCATCTGGTTCTTCTTCTGTAGTGGAACCTTTGTTTATTTCTCAGGTAGATTACATGTCCTCTACTCGAACCTCTGACCACCTGCACCATCTTTTTATTAAGACATATCTTCTTCTCCTCCTTACTTGCAGGAGGCGTTGCTCTTATATTTTTTTTTATATATTGATGGTTGATATTATTTTCCGAACCACTCCTTTCTCCCCAAGACTTGGGCTGCTTGGGAGGGTGATGAAATGTTTCCCATATTTTCTGTGTGGTTGTTCAGCTTGCAGAGCAGCTCCTTTGTCCTGTTTTGACATTTCACTGTTCCCTCATACTGACTGTTCTATTTTTGTTTTTTTGCTGTGGCATTCTTCTTTTCATAACTCAACTCCTTAAACCTTGACCAATTGGGTCAAATGACTCTTTTTCTTCCTTCTTATGTCACATCCCATGAAACTTGTCATCTCACAGCTTCTCCTGTCTCTGGCTGTTGACATCATCTGGATGAAAGTTTGCAGTTAGGGATGTGGACAACCTTGAAACTTTTGTGTCATATTACTTTACACCATATTGTTCCTCTAGGTATCATTTTGCTTCTGTTGCCATTCTCCAATCTCCTCAGAGGTGTTAAAGAATTGAGTTATTGATTTTCTTTCTTGCGGCTTCCACATAAAAAAAAATCAAACCACCTTAAAATACTATACATACATATACACTGGAGATAATGGAACCATCACTTGGCTGGTGTTATCTCATGAGGAATACTTCTTTCTTAAAAATTTGTATCAAATATGGGTTAACAAAGTTTTAAGCCCACCTGCCCCTGCTCATTGCCCATGCTGTTGAAACAGGGTTTTCTATGAGACTGCTTTAGCAATTTACATATTTTACATTCTAAGCTATGCTGCTATTTCGATACAACAACAACAAAAAAAAAACATGGTTCTCTGCCCTCACACCTAGTCAGGCCCTGCTTTCTTTCTTCATGGTAACCCACTGCACTGTGGGACCTTATGCAGATAGTAGATTTTTCCTGTTTGGTCTGTGTATCTCTGCATTGTTCTCCCTTATGCAAATTCCTCCTCCACATTTTTTCTAGAGAAGTGAGAGAATCCTTGCTTTCCCAGTTCTAAGCTGTTGGGGAGGTCAATATGGAGAGTTCCCCTTCAAGTTAGTGTAACCCCACTATTATTGAACCAAGTGTATGCACCCCTCAGTTGGAAGTAGGGCAGGGGTATCTACCTGGAAATATGTATTACAAGTAACTCTATACACTAAGATGCAGAACATTTCCAGTGTTTGTGTCTAGCCAGATGAGTCTTGCACTTTCCTTAGTATGGAGGTTAGGATGATTCATCCCTGTACCTGTTGATCCTGGTAAGTATATTTTGAAGTATTTCTTTGTTCTATACAGCTTGTTTTAGTATCCTAGTTACACTGCATGTACATGCTCTTCTGACCCATTGAGATAAACAGGTCAGTCCCTCCACCACCTTTTCAATGTGGGATTCTAGGTATTTGTTCTGTGAGGAGGTGAATAGCATTTATAAAATTAACATTTTTAATACCTGAAAATGTGTTTTAGATAGATATCTCTTTACAGAACAATCCACTCTTTCTCCCCAATTTTGGTGTGTCTCTTTTTACCTAATCAAGAATTACCTGTTGATATACAGAGAGTGCCCATAATGAATTCTGAGCATGGAAAATGTGCACTTTACTACTGTTGGTGGAGGGGTATATTGCTGATTGCATCATAGACTGTCACAGTTCATGTTATTAGATGTGGGGATGACAGTTTTGTTCAAAGGCTTGAAAAGTTTGCAAAAAATTTTTGGCAGTGGCACAAGATATTAGCTATTTGTTCAGAAGAGAGGTGAGTATTTATTTGAAATACATTTTCAGGTAAGAAAATTGTTAACTTTATTGAAACTATTCTAAAATAGGACCTAAAATGAACTCTGTTCTTAAAACATTATCTTGTTATAAATATAGGATGACTGTGAAAAACTTATGAAAGTAACCGCAGAATTAATCACAGCACTTGAGGCTGCAGTAAAAGGAGATATGGTAAATATTAGTGCTTTTCATTTCCTTAAAGACTTTTTAAATTGATAACTTGTTTGTTTACTTGAGCTATTATATTTATATCCTAAGAGAATATTTTATTATTAGGTTTTTACAGATTTTTGACAGTTTAAATTTTGGGAGAACCTTACACTGGTATATATTGAGGATTTTATTTACTTACTTATTTCACTGAGAAGTATACAGTTTTTAAAAATTTAGAGTGCTTCATTGGTTTATTTCTTCCTGAGATAATATTGAGTTGGTAATTATCATGATTTTTAATTGATCTTTTTCATAGGAAAATATTTAATTAGTAATTATTAGTGCTCCTTGCTGCTTTACTTATTTTCCAAAACATACTTACTTCTCTTCACACTACAGCTATTACTCGACTACTAGGGTTTCCTTCCTTTGCCCATTCAAGCATTGGTCTAAACTTTTCTCGCCTGCTTCAGTATTTTATTCCCCCCACCTAATTGCTCATGTCGACATCTGTCACATGACATTCTCCACCTACAACAATGTGCCCTCTATCCTGGTACTGTATATAAGCACCTCATTCAGATAATATTATTACTTTTTTCTTGACATAGCTTTCACTAATGGGTTTCTCTGTACTATGGCCATTGGAGATACTTTGAGCATTCTTCATGTTACCTAGTTGATATTTGTAAAAAAAACAAAAACATTTCTTTGGCAAGACGATGAATTCTCAGATTATTGTTTCCAGCACAGAGGCAAATGGAGTCTCTCCTATCTCACCTCTGATATCTAGCATCGCTCAACATTCGACATTTGGAGGGGGGGGGGGGGGGTCACTCTAAGATGAGACTGTCTGTGACCTTATTTGTAGTGAGATGGAGACATATATTCGGTCTGGGGGTGTTTCTCCAGGGGGCTCTGAGGCTGCATTTGAGGGTGAACCTGGACATTCTGGAGAGATTCGTTTTTTTCCTGTGCTTTCCTTTATTGGGCCACATTGGAATAAACCGCCTCTGGCTCCTTTTCTTCAGTTGTTCCACATCGAGTGTGTGATGTTTTGGGTTTTTACCTGGTTGGTTTTGAGCTTGTGCTGTCCTTGATGGCTGAAAATCTGAGGGCGAATACTTCATTTTCCCTCTATCCAGTGATACTGTGGTTCATGCAGAGAGGTTTATTGCTCAGTTACGTGAAGGGACAGCCGTATCTAGTCCACCATGTTTGTGGAACTACATGATTTAGCCCACCACTGCCAGGAGTGTGCATATTCAGACTTTCAAAGAATAGACCTGCTCCTGGAAATTTGTGGATCCAAAATGAAGTCAGTAGTCAACCTGAATAAATCACAATATTCTAGGATTTGCCTCACCGTATTTACAGGGATAAGATATTTATCATCCCTCCAACTCAGAAGACTCAGCAATCACTACACCAATTTGACCATTTTTAGCATGTACATTGGTTTGATTGTCAGCTTCCTCATTTTCCCTAGTCTCTTGGCTGGTACTTTGTCAAGATTTGTGGGGTAGAGATGTGTTGTTGGAAGGCATTTGTCTACCGGCTGCTGCCCTCCATGAGTTCCATGAGGCCCCCTTTTCTCTTACCCTTGATTTTGCAGGCATTCCAGTGTTGCTTACCTTCTAGTCATGATTCTTGGTTCAGAACACATCACTCTACAGCTTCATGTTGGGCCCAATCTACTCACAAGTGTATATATATATTGCGGTCCAAGTGCCCTAGCCACCAACGTCGGATGTGGGGACCATGGCCCTATAATTCCAACCCTGAGCATCGGAACCTTGGTTATCTGGTTGGGGCCTGGCCAATAGTGATGATGGATGGTGTAAAATTCCACTCGCAGTGTATGAATTAGGTTCTGAGTGAAGAGCATACCTGTTCTTGATGTAGTGCAGTTCCCCCCACTAGGGTGCTAATCTTCTATTGGCACATCCATGATCTTTGTAGACACATTCTGTATGGATAATGCCCACACCGGCAACTTCACCTTATCAATGTGGGAATCTAGCTGTAATGTAAGAGGAGGTAAGTATGTTTTGGAAGTTAATATTTTCTTAAATTGAAAATGTATTTCCAGTAATACTTACCTCTATTCACACTCTCCTGCCCTTCCTCCCCACTAAGAGCTGGTGTTATAGACTGCAGATTGGGTCAGTCTCGAAAAAGTGATAATATTATCTGAATGAGATGCTTATGTACAGTACCAGGATAGAGGGCGCATTGACGTAGGTGGAGAGTGTCACATGACAGATATTACCAAGGGCAATTAAGTGGGAATAAGAGACTGGAACAAGCAAGAAAAATTCAAACCAATGCTTAGATAGGCAAAGGGAGGACCCTATAGCAGTCAAATAATAGCTGTAGTGTGTGTGGGGAGGTAAGTATTATTGGAAATATATATTCTTAATTTAAGAAAACGTTAACTTCTGCAAACAAATTTGTGATTTTAGAATGTTTACACTTCTCTGTTTATTTCTTTCTTTCTTTCTTGAGTAAATATTCAGTTGGTACATAGTAGTTTACAGTGTTGGTATATATATATACTTTACTAGAGAATACCAGTTTGTAAGCAATAATGTGTTTATGTGTTTATCTTATTGAAAGGATAGTTGGTAAATACTAGTGATTTTATTAATTTATTTACTTCCTGAGACAGTATCCACTTGGTATGTATTTGCATTCTTTACTTGTTTATTTTCTAAAAGAATAGTTATTTTGTAAGAATTAGTGTCTTCATTGGATGATCTGATTTTTAAATGTATAATTAATTGACAATTATTGTTTTCTTTTGTATTGAAAATTTAACGTTTTTGAGAATGTAAAACTTGAAGATATGATAAATAAGCTTTTTGTCAACCATAAAATTTTAAAATATGGATAAACAAAATATAAATATTTTATATGTCAGGCTAAAGATAATAGTATTTTGTATTTGTTTTAAGATTAATAGCTTCTGAAAGAGAAGATTTGAACATTGGTTTCTATGACAAAAACAATCTTTTAACCGAGGAATTTTTGAGGTTTCACATTTGTGTGAATACAGAAGGTGCTCTTAGTCTTAATCTATTTTCATCTAATTTTGCTTGGATCCTGGAATAGATGCTGTTTTGAATTTTTGTATTAATTGTGTATTATTGCTATATTGTTGTTTGAGGAGGATAACTTATGTACAGTTTCTCTTTCCACTTCTAGAAATACTTCTGTCACTTTGGTTGGGTTCCTTGTGAATGTGCCTAAACTCTAATATATTTTCTTATGTGTACGTCCTTTTACCTTTAGGCTTTGCATGCTACAGTTGGATTTTCCCCTTAATCCTAACCACCCCTCTATGTTTCAGTGGTAAGTCAATATAATTTAAGGACAACAAAGGACCTGTTGGTACATTTAAGCTGTCCCACTTACCAAACTAAACTTTAAAAATCAACACTCACAGCCAGCCCTTATCATTCAAATATTTATCAAGTCTTTCCTGAAATTCCCTTAAATTAACTGCAACAACTACATCTTAAGGCAACCCATTCCAGAGAAAACCACCCTGTTAGAAAAATAAAACTGCCTTGGCTGAAGATGGCTCCAACCCTGCCAAAATTTATATTTGTGTCCCCTAGTCTTAACATTCTCACCATTAAATATGAAAAAGATGATGAATCAACACTATCAATTCCCTTAACAATCTTAAGCATCTTAATCAGATCTCCTCTAATTTTTTTTCCAGATAAAACAGTTTCAGAGCTCTTAACCTATCCTTGAATGACAACCTTTCAATCCCAGTTAGCCTCTGAACCATTTCCAACAAATTAATGTTCATCCTAAGGTTGGAACTCAAGAATAAACACTGTACTATAAATGTGGCCTAACTGATGACCTATACAATAACATTATAATCTTGTTAGACATGTATTTAGTATTTCTGTATATGCAATCTAAAATGTTATTTGCTTGGATGGCTTAAGAGACTGATGAACCACAATACCAAGATATGTTTCTTTCATAACTCTGTTAAGGTTATTATTATTACAAGTTATACTCGTAATTCAAATTCTAATATTCCACATGAATTACCTTGCATTTGTTATAATTAAAAGCCATCATGACATTTATTCTTCCAACTCACAAAATAATCCAAATCCTTTCATAAAGCAGCATCTTCCTCCTCACAGCCAGCAACACCCAAAACTTCAATATCATCAAAAAATTTATACAACTTATTGGCTATTTCTTCATCTATGTTATTGATGTAAATCAAAAAAGTGCAGAAGTCTTAACTGTAAGTCCTGAGGTACCCCATTTGTGACATTAATTCAGCTTGATTGAACTCCATTTTTAACAACCCTCTACTTTCTTCCATCCAGCCAGTTTTCTAACCAGTAAGCCAACCTATCCCCTACACATACACAGATAAATTTTTTAATAAGCATTTTATGTGATACCTTGTCAGATGCTTTCTGAAAATCCACATACACAAAATCTGTATCTGTACCCTCATCTACATAAGCAGTAACCTCTTCAAAGAATGACAAAAGATTAGTAATGCAAGATTGTCCCTGAGTAAAAACATGCTGACTATCCAACAGTATTTTAAACTTTGTTAAATGACATGACTTTGCAAAGCATCATTTATCAGACATTCAAAACTTTTCTTACTATTGATGTAAGACTAATAGGCCTATAATGACTGGGGCAATTTTTTTTACCTTCCTTAAAAAGAGAAATAACATTACCCAACTTTCAAGTTTCTGGTACCTGCGTATACAAAGACTTAGAAAAAATAGTAACAAGTGGCTCACTTATCCAATCTTTAACCTCCTTTAAAATCCTTGGGTAAATATTATCTAACCCAGGAGATTTATTACTCCGATAAGGTACTCTCCCTCCACTCACAAGATTAGCTTTTCTCGCTTCGTGCTGCCCTCTATATGCAAACTTTTTAGAAATGCATACCACAAGTCTTCATTTTCCCTCTGTTGGAATCCACAGTTCCAAAACATCTCTCATGCAAGTCA